ATCATCATCATCATCATCATCATCATCATCATCGATATTTATTCTTATTGCGTCATCGAATAAGCAACAACAACAACAAAACGAAAATAGTGAAAATGAATCTTATGATCAACAACAACAACAACAACAAAGACGACGACGCCGACGAAGTACAGATTATTTTCATTCAATTGCCTATCTTTTAGATGAAAATTTTATTATAAATCATTTGGATATTTTGAATGATTCCATACAACAAAAAAACGATATTCAAAAAAATATTACATTTGCTCATAATATTGATTCGAATGATGAAAAAATGAACAAAATTCTTTTAAATCCTGATTCGAAAATCCTTAAATCATCAAATAATTATAGTGATGATGATTATGGATTATTGAATGAAGAACATTATTTTGGTCATAATGATGATGATGATTTATCCGATGATCTAAATCTTCATATTTATCATATATTTAATATATTATTAATATTTTTTTATTCATTATTGGCTATAATTTCATTAATTGGTAATGGACTTGTTTGTCGTGTACTATTAAAACCTAAACAATCATCATATACATTACCGATTACATCATCAAATGGTACGGGTACATCAAAATTATTGATAATTAATCTAGCAATTTCCGATCTATTACTTACAACATTCAATATACCAATGAATATTGTACGTTTTGTTAGCCGTGATTGGCCATTTGGTTCATTAATCTGTACAATGATGCCTTTTATACAATCAGTTTCGGCTTATTGTTCAGCATGGACAATGATGATTATTGCATTTGAACGTTATCGAAAGTAAGTGTTTGTATAAAAAAAAATTGATTTATTCAAAAAAAACAGAGAAAGTAAACAAATCTTTTGAAAAAAGTCTGCTTTACAAATTTAAATAAATAAAGTATACCTACCTATTTCATGTTGATCAATCAATCGATCAATTAAAAAAATCGAACACATAAAAACATACGCCTACACAACAACAACAAAAAAAATTACACATCGAACATCACTATCTTATCACATACTATTTATACAACAACAAAAAATCAAATGTTGTCAAAATAGAATCGATCAATCATGAAAATTCGAATGTTTATTCATTCACAGGAAAAAAAAAACAAAAAGGATAATACACTTGCTCTTTGGCATTTTTGTCTGCTTCTAAAAAAAAAGGAATTAGTTGACGAAATTTTCTTGATAATATTCTTGATAATGCCCGAAAAAAATACAAAATAAGTTTTTATACAATGTTGCTAAACATGATAAACATTGAACATTTTTTTTCTCTCGTTATTTACCCCCCCCAAAAAAAAACAGACAGATAAACAAAATTGTGTAATTGAAATTTTCAGCTTCAAGCT